ATCATGTTGTTGGCGGGCATGTGGGGGGGGAAGGAACTTTTGCACATATATGGTGGGACTGCCCTAAGATAAGACCATTCTGGGAAAGAGTGAGGAGTACCATCAGGCAAATATGTGGCGTACAACTACCTTTATATCCCTGGAGGTTTTTATTCCATCTCACCACAGACTCGGTGAAGGTGTATAAAAAATCCCTGATACCCCATTTGTTTGGGCCAAATCTTTGATCCCAAGGTATTGGGGGACAACTAAAATCCCCTCCACCTTTGAGTGGTTTGTTAAGCTTGACTCAATAAAGTTGATGGAAGAAATGGTGAAGATGAAACAGGATAAATATGAGGAATTCTATCAGATATGGGGAAAGTGGTTGGAATTTAAAGAATCAGAGGTCTATTGCTCATATGTACCGTATGTTAGAAATCTGACTCAGGACCAATAGGGAAACACTATGTAATATGGAACTATTAAATAAGAGGAAAATATAAACAAAATGGCAAAAGGATGCCATTAACAAGAACATAGGAAAGTTAAATTATATGAATCATTGAGCCTTGGGGGTATGATTCAGGGGGGGCGCGGGGGATCACAATGCATAAGGGATAGTAACACTAATTAGGGGATATTGATTAGTTCACTAACACACAGGGTATAAGGGAGGGGGGAGAAGGGACACTAGGGAGGATACACTGTAGATACAAAGGAAGTTGAAGTACATTAATCTGGGACCCTCAGATGCATATTGGGCTCAATGAAGGGATAAAAGAGCAACTAACGGATCAAGAAGTAGAGGGGGGGGGGGGACCTTAGCCCGACTGTCCAGATCCGGCAAGACAGGGAGTGATTCAGCGGGGATAGAGGGACGAATGAAGGACATGAATTCATAAGAAGGGAGGGAAAGTTATAATTGTATGAAATTTCTACGTTATTGTTGTTAAATTTATGGAGGTGAAAACTCAATAAAGAATTAATAGACAAAAAAGAAGATATGCACATCCAGTGCGTTTCAGGGGACAGGAATCCCGCTTCACTAGTGCCTTAGCAATGGACAACAGGACACTGATAGATTCTAAACTTACAGCCTCTGCACACAATCCTATTTCTCTTTACCAGCAGTTCAGATTTGTACAAGTCCTTTTTTTATATCGCAGTCTTTGACAAGCAGAAAATGATGCAATGGGGACATTTATTAAAGTGTCATTAAAGGATAAAATCCCCCCCCCCAATGCTAGTGTAAGGACTTACCATAAATGATGCCTCTTGATCCGATCATCTTCTTTCCTGTAGTTTTCAGGAGTCCCTCCAGCGCTGGTGCAGGTCTCTTGGTCCAGCGCTGTCTCCTCTTTCTTAACTGGCACTTCCTGTCCCAGGGAGTCTGCGCAGGTCCAGGCTGCTGCATTTACTTATCTTGTGTCTCTCCTCGTCTCCCGCCCGAAGATGTGATCTGCGCATGCGCCCACCCCCAAGATCCTTTGCGGCCGCCTGAGAATCATCAGATGTTCGGACGGGAGCGCGGCAAAGACACAGGTAAGTTTAAACATTTTGAAAAGTTTTTTTTAATGTTTTTGCATAGATCTACTGCTTGCCAGCAGTAGATATACTGTATGCAAACACCGCTGAGGGTTTAATAATCCTTTAAGCAAATTAATAACATAATTAGTCACAGATCAGGCTGCCTCTCATGATGCAAAGTCTCTGCGACACGTTTACAGTGTCTGTATTCTGTAAGTGTCTGTATTCCTAGGCAGCCAAGTGCGACAGTTTGCAGAGTTTTAAGACAGATTTATTAGGAAAGATGTGACAGACTTTCACTCTAAACAGTCGCTTAATGAAGAAGTGGTCCGGGTCAGGTTTTAATTTGTCGCAGTGTTACTTTAGAGCAGCTGAGGGAGGAATTTATGACTCAAGCTGAAACCTTGTAGTAAATCTGTCTCACAATTTGCCTCACTGCCCCTGTTTAGCACAGCTTCACCTTGGGAGATAATTGATAAATGTCCCCCATTGTATCTCTATCTCCTCACAGAGAAGAAGTATAGGGGAGGCTTATATTTACAGTGGTCACTGTGATAGCCAACCACAGTGATCACTGTAAATAGAAGGCTCTCCTGTATAACTTCTTCTCTGTGTGGAGATAGAGATATCATGAATATCTTGATTAAGAACCGATCCACCTGACTAGGAATGGTCTCGATGTTCGAGCCCAACAACAGTTCAACTCGAACATCGGTAGTTTGTGTGTTCGGTGAACACAGGAACTATCAGCGCGTTCGGCTGGCTGTTCGCCCGCCAAGCCCCCCCACAAGGCACTGCGCACCGCACAGTGCCTTGTGAAGCCCTGATTGGGTAAAGCAATGAACATGACCACAGGTTGTGTGCAAGACTTTGCCAAATTATGGCAAAGTGCACTATAAGAGCTATGATTGGGCAAAGTAATGATGACTTTGCCCAATCATGGCTCACAGCTGTCAGAGTCCTGAGAGAGTCCTGCCAGATGCCCGACAAATGTAAACAGTTGGGCGGAGCTAGCGGTGACGTCACATTGTTTTTATTTTGCCGGCATCTGTCAGAATGTCATTCTGCGGCGGGAGTTCATTGCGAGCGGACGGGTCGGCCGGAGTCGGGTTTAAGTTTTTCTATTTATTTTTTCTTGTTCTATTTTTTATTGACATGTCGTCGTCATGGACAACGCTGGACGTCATGATTGACCTTGGGATTACGTCGGTGGATCCATTTTTTTTTTCAAATAAAGGATTTGTTCAAAAGTCTGGTCTTTTTATTTAGAATGTATTTTAACCCTTTAGTGAATGGGGAAGAGGCCCTTGTCCCCATCGGCACGGGGACAAGGTGCTTTTCCAGGGGCAACCCTGAAAAAGCACCCTCTCAGTGCTGAGGGCATGTGGCCTTAAGGGCCTGGCATGACTTTGAGAGGGAACCTCACACGCTTTTTTTTTTCTTTCAAATGGGGTCCCTCGTAAAATTCGTACCAGACCTTAAGGGTCTGATATGACTTTTTGGGGAAACCCCATGCTTATTTTTTTCTTTTTATTTAAGTGGGGTCCCTCCTAACATTCCTACGCGACCTAAAGTGTCTGGTATTGTTTAGGAAGTGGAACCGCACGCTTTTCTTTTTCTTTATAAACGTAATTTTTGCTGCAGCAGGTTCTATACATTGTACAGATTTGCCCCTTTACAGGCAGTTTAAGGGGACCCCCCAGGCATGATATTTAAAGGAATTTTTATTGTTTCACTTTAAGCAATGTTAAAATCACTGCTTTTTGAAACAGTATTTTTTAAAAGTGTCTTTGCATTGATTCATGTCCCCCAGGGCAGTATCCGAATCCCCATAGCCTTTTTATGGCCAATAACTTGCATATAAGCCTTCAAAATGGGGACATTTGATTTTCTGAGTCCCATAGACTTTCATTGAGTTCGAAGTTCGAGTTCCAACTTTTTCCATGTTCTAAAGTTCGAACCCAAACCGAACACATTTGTGTTCAGCCCATCACTACACCTGACACCCAATTGTTAGTTTGAGGACAAGAGCTGACGCTGTGTTGGAAGCTAAAATAATTGACATCTATGATACATCTTTGATGGAAAGGTTCCTTAATATCGTGAGCTGCCCGTGCTGTTTGATATGCAAATGAAGACCATCAAAGGGTTCTTGGGGCTGGACACTGATCAAAGGAGATCTGCTGGACTGTCATGTCCTGGGGCAAGCCCGACCCCCTGCTGGTATTTACTGCCCTCACCTGTGTCAACAAGGTATGTATGCTGGGATGGGGGCAGGGACATCTGGTGGAACCTTCTTCCTGTGTGACACTAATCTAGCTGACCAGCAAGACCTTTGGACAAGACAAGTCTTTCTGAACTCTGCAATCAAGAATGTGATTCGCTGAGACCTGCTAGAGAGGCGTGTCTGAAGAACAGAGAAAAACCCATGGCTTGTGTGAATGAGAGGGAGAGAATGGTGTAGCTAGCTGTAGGATCCTTAACCTCAATTCCTATCCCCAATTCCCCTTTCAAATTCCCTTAATTGTAATATGTATGTATATCCCTATTTGTAAATAAACCCAACACTTATTTAAGATTCAGTTGTTCATCAGTAATTTAAGGGCACCCCCAAATCAGAGCACATTCTACACGCTGACAGCTCAGCCCCTCTTCTGGGGCCACGCTATGGAGCGTGCTTCCAACACAAACACATGCCGCATATGTGCGGCACCACGGAAGAAAGCCCACTTCCATGTGTGTTACATGGTCTGTAAGGTGTTACAAAGGTCAAAAACAACTATTAAGGTTAGGATAATATGTTGAAACTTATATGAGATTTCAGTGACTGGGTTTAAAGGAGTTTTCCCTTTGTTACTGGCAGGATCACCAGGTAAAAAAAACCTTACTGTCCTAGGGTGGATACTGTTACCCCACTATATTACTATACAGGCAGTCCCCGGGTTACGGACGTCCCACTTACAGACAATCCGTACTTACGAACAGGATCCACTGTTCTCCTAAATGTACCGGCAGCTGCCGGTACATTTTGAAATATTTGAAATATCCAATAGCAGGCTGGCTATGGCTCTAAGCATTAAAATAAAAAAAAAAGTTAAAAAAAACAGAAATATTAAATTAAAAAGGCAAAAAAATAAAAAAGTAAAGAAAAATTTAAATAAATAAAAATAACAAATGCAAACAAATAATAAAAAATTAAGTTTATAAAATAAAATTAAAAATAGAAAAAAACTTTTTTTGCTGTCTCATTTTAAATAAAAAATGTTTTAATTATATTATAATCTTCTGAACAACAGGAACAGACAGCAAAAGAACCGTGACCCTTCCCTATGCTATCCAAAATTAAACTTTTTTTTTTTGGGCTGGAGTTACACTTAAAAAATTTACCTGTTCTGACTTACATACAAATTCAACTGAAGTACAAACCTAAAGTCCCTATCTTGTATGTAACCCGGGGACTGCCTGTACTACACTGGGCGCTCGCATTACACGCCCGGCTCCATGCCAGGTAGCCGGGCTTCTTACCCATTTAAAGTTTGAGAATAGGTTGAGATCGTTTCGGCCCCAAGACCTCTAATCATTTGCTTTACCGGATAAAAACTAGGTCGGCCCGAGAGCCAGCTATCCTGAGGGGAACTTCGGAGGGAACCAGCTACTAGATGGTTCGATTAGTCTTTCGCAGCATGAAAGAGCAGCGTTGTTGCCCTGGTAAAGGAAGGAGTTCTAAAGTCCCAGCATTTACTATCCTGTTATAGAATCAGCATTGTAATAGGAATACATACTACGGTAAACTCCCCGTTATCCGGCATTCAAGTAACTGGCACTCTCAAACAACCGACAAAAAAAAAACGAGGACATAATATGTCCTCGTTTTTTTTTTTTGCCAGTTGCTTGATAGACATGTGCACACTAAAAATTTTTGTTACCAACTATATTTATCTATTTGTTAACAAAATTCTCTGTTTACATCTTGCTGGAGGCAGCTGAATGTAAACAATGGACAGGAGCAATGCCATTGGCTATTTCAAATTGGGGCAGATTGGGTTGCTTGAGAGTTAATGGTGACTCTCAAGCAATCAGAAATTACAGTTACCCGGCATCTACTAATCCCCATGGGTGCCAGATAACTGGGAGTTTACTGTATAGTTGTTTTTGATAATGCAATCAAAGCTACTTGAAAAAAATCCCTTTATTGTTAGAGTTTGACCATAGATACTCATTAAATCTCTTTTAAGGAGATACAAAATTCATACAGTCATTTCAAAGATGCTTTACAACCGAGAAACTGGGCCACAAATAATTCTGTGTTCTATCTGCAATTTGAAAGCAAACATGCTGGCTTATCAAAACAAAGCTGAGTCACGATGAAATCAATACGTCAAAGCAGGTACACGGTATTACATAACAGAAAGAGGAAGTGCTCAATGAGTTTACTGCTTGCTGGCTGTTTACATGTTACAGACTTTTTCCAACAAAGATTTCCACTGCTAAAGCATTAAAGGAGAACTATGAGGTGAGTGAAAATCACTCATCCTCAAAGTTCGAGCCGACGTGTGACAATGAAACTGTCACACGTCGGCTCAATAGATCGGGAAGTGAGCGGACACATACCGTCGCTCGCTCATTTCTCGATCATCTCCCTGCAGAGAGCCGTGACTGACAGTCACGGCTCCCCCCCTCCCCTTTTCAATCCTCCAGCGCTGAGTGGAGGAACGGACGGGGGAGGGGGCGGGTACAGCTGGTTCTGCCTCTAGATAGACAGAGCCAGCTGTCACTCACGCAGCTGGGTGGATCTCGACAGTAATGTCGGATCTGTCCCAGCTGCGGCGCTCTCAGTATACCGCGAGCTGTAGCTCGCGATATACTGAGCTTTGGGTCATGGGAGGACGCTAGTAAATGTTCTCCCATGACCCTTAGAAGAACTATGGGGAAAAACACTTATCCCATAGTTCTCTTTTAAACTAATAAAACATATGTTATGAGGCTTGGGCTGAACGAAAAAAATTGACGCGATTCCTCCATCAACACAAACAGAATGCCTTTTTAGGGCAAGCAGCTTTGGGATGAATTAGAGCGGACACTGCGAGCCAGGCCTTCTTGTCCAACATCAGTACCTGACCTCACAAATGCGCTTCTGGAAGAATGGTCAAACATTCCCATAGACACACTCCTAAACCTTGTGGACAGCCTTCCCAGAAGAGTTGAAGCTGTTATAGCAGCAAAGGGTGGGCCAACTCAATATTGAACCCTACGGACTTAGGCCTCGTTCACACCTGACCGTTTTGTAGGGCGTTCTACGCTCGACGAACGCTCTACAAAACGGTAAAAAATATAAATTGCATTGTAGTCAATGCCCTCGTTCCCACCTAGGCGTATTTCCGCCCGTCCCTAACGCCCTACAAAACGGCCCACGCCTGAAAAGGTCCCGGGACTACTTAGGGCCGTTTTGTAGGGCGTTTTCCATTGGGATACAGCCAAGTAGCCTTTGGAACCGCGCAACTTTTTTTACAGCGAATCGCGGTAAAAAAACCACGTGACGGTCGCGCGACAGACGCGCATATTACAATACGCCTAGGTGTGAATGGGGCCTAAGACTGGGATGCCATTAAAGTTAATGTGCGTGTAAAGGCAGGCATCCCAATACTTTTGGCAATATAGTGTAGTGTAGATGCTGGAACTCTGATAGGATGAACAGGTATTATTCTATACTTGCAATAAATATTCTTAGCCATAAATATAAAATGAATGTCGCCACCACATCTTATGGTTGGTAAACGGCAATATTCTATTTTGTTCCTGGGTTTCCTCCAGTGCTGAGTGGAGGAACGGACGGGGGAGGGGGCGGGTACAGCTGGTTCTGCCTCTAGATAGACAGAGCCAGCTGTCACTCACGCAGCTGGGTGGATCTCGACAGTAATGTCGGATCTGTCCCAGCTGCGGCGCTCTCAGTATACCGCGAGCTGTAGCTCGCGATATACTGAGCTTTGGGTCATGGGAGGACGCTAGTAAATGTTCTCCCATGACCCTTAGAAGAACTATGGGGAAAAACACTTATCCCATAGTTCTCTTTTAAACTAATAAAACATATGTTATGAGGCTTGGGCTGAACGAAAAAAATTGACGCGATTCCTCCATCAACACAAACAGAATGCCTTTTTAGGGCAAGCAGCTTTGGGATGAATTAGAGCGGACACTGCGAGCCAGGCCTTCTTGTCCAACATCAGTACCTGACCTCACAAATGCGCTTCTGGAAGAATGGTCAAACATTCCCATAGACACACTCCTAAACCTTGTGGACAGCCTTCCCAGAAGAGTTGAAGCTGTTATAGCAGCAAAGGGTGGGCCAACTCAATATTGAACCCTACGGACTTAGGCCTCGTTCACACCTGACCGTTTTGTAGGGCGTTCTACGCTCGACGAACGCTCTACAAAACGGTAAAAAATATAAATTGCATTGTAGTCAATGCCCTCGTTCCCACCTAGGCGTATTTCCGCCCGTCCCTAACGCCCTACAAAACGGCCCACGCCTGAAAAGGTCCCGGGACTACTTAGGGCCGTTTTGTAGGGCGTTTTCCATTGGGATACAGCCAAGTAGCCTTTGGAACCGCGCAACTTTTTTTACAGCGAATCGCGGTAAAAAAACCACGTGACGGTCGCGCGACAGACGCGCATATTACAATACGCCTAGGTGTGAATGGGGCCTAAGACTGGGATGCCATTAAAGTTAATGTGCGTGTAAAGGCAGGCATCCCAATACTTTTGGCAATATAGTGTAGTGTAGATGCTGGAACTCTGATAGGATGAACAGGTATTATTCTATACTTGCAATAAATATTCTTAGCCATAAATATAAAATGAATGTCGCCACCACATCTTATGGTTGGTAAACGGCAATATTCTATTTTGTTCCTGGGTTTGCATGCACGTTATGAACAGACTGGAAAGTGTGTGCTGATGAGCAGTTTTATTTACTGCATACTTATTCCGAGTAAGTGAAGTAAACAATATGAACACAATGTAATCTGTTACACTGTGTGACTTCTATATCAGCGCCACAAGTGCTGACTGCAGAGCGGGAAAAGCCATCCGCTGGCATAACGCAGCACTTGCCAGTAACCAACATGGCGCCCCAGAGCTGCCGATGCCCTCTTCTTCGAGCCGTGTCGCTGGTCACCTGAGGGGGCGGGGCTACGACTAGAGCTAGGAGTGTATGGTGCCTTAGCGGTAGTCTCCCAGTGTGTCACTGTCGTGTGCGGATGGCGGACAAGGCAGCCGGCGGGGACGAGCCCCGGCGCGGAAACAGCGGAGGGGCGGAAGGTGGCGGTGAGCCTTACGAAGCTTCCAGGAACAATGGACGCGGGGAGGCCAGTGGTACAGGTGAGAGGCTGGGGTGGGTGCTATTGGGGTTTATGGTTTGGGGAGGGACATATGGAGGCCTGCGTCTTCTCACCTGTCTCTATGGAGTCTTGGGGCTGTGACTCCGCATGTCCTCATGCTGGCTCATTTGTATCTGTAGAGTCACATTTAATGGTATTTCACCTGTTACAATGTTCACCATTGTTTACTCTGATGACAACAAATGTTTCAGTTTGGGATATTTGGCCCTTACCCGTTACTGTATATTATTCTACAGCTGACAGGTTTAAAGGTCTAGTCCAATTTAAAGGGTTCACCTAATCACAAGAAATGAAAAGGTGAGCTAACTCGCAACACCCTCCCCCGGTCACCGCTGCGCTTAGATGACATACCTTGGCGCACCCACGTCAGCCGGGGGTAACAGACCACACGCTTCAAAATTCCTCTACTCGGCCTCGGGGGCAACATAATGCTGGCGATGGCTGGAGGTCATTGGTCAGACCAATGAGAAACTCCTCTGAGCCTTCTGGGATGGCGTCCTGGACAAAAGAGAGGCACATTGGCGCGGTCATGTGACTGCTCACCATTGCCACATTATGATGCTACACATCCTCCAGGCCATTTTAGTGAAGTTCTCAAGTGTGCGTCCCATTACAAGGGCTGGTGTGGGCAGTGAGGTATGGCATCTGTTCAGCAGGGAGCGGGAAGTGGGTGGTGGTGGCGTAGAGCCTCGATTCTCAACTGGTGGGTCGTGACCCAAAAGTTTGTCGCGACCCTGTGTTCAGTGGGTCGCCGCGTGCCTTCCACTTTTTTAGGTAAGATGCTCTTCAGCCTCCCTCTTGCGCAGCACTGTCAGTTCTCGCGCCAAGCAGCCATTAAAAATATGCTGCCCGGCACCGTGTGTCAGCTTGAGGTGGGGTGGGCTGGAGCTATGTCCGCGAGAGAGCTCTATCCATACATGCATGCATTGCGTACAGCTCCTTTTACAGAGTGCTCAAGGGAGCTGTACAAGCAATGTACATATGGATGGAGCTCCGTCACAGCACAGCAGCCCACACTGGACCCCAGGCTGAGAATCCACTTCAGTTCTCATAGTGGTAGGGAGACGTGTATATGTGTGTGAGGTTGTGTCTGTCTGTGTTTTTAAGGGCCTGTTCACACTAGTACAGTGCGAATCGAGCAGTACTGTACCATTAATGCACTGTACCACGCAATCGCACCTACTATGAATTCTGGTGCGGGAGGTGTGTTGCCATTCTTTGAATGGCACCCAAACACACCTCCTACCCACAGTTCAATCGTCTGCACCGAAACGCGCGGTACCACAATGCCGTGCCTTCCTTTATATTGCGACTTGGGTCGCGACCTAATGAGCACGCAAAAATGTTGGTCCTGAGGTTATACAGGTTGAGAACCACTGGCGTAGAGGGTGCTAGAAGTTATTACCTTTTCTTTATTTTGTGACCTAACCCTTTAATGCGCACACATTCCTAAAAATAAAAAAAGTTAATTTTATTACATTTTTGCATTAAAGCCTGCAAAGAATTGCAGCTGCGATCAGTGCAATGCCCAGGCTTCTGTCTGTGTGTGTGTGT